GGACTGGGGGTGGAGCTGGGAAGGAGCGGGCAGGCTTCAGAAATTAGATTTGACAACCATGTCGGTTGCATATATGATTTAAAACTCTAGTGAGATAATTCTCACAAGGTTTTTTATTGTTTGGTCTGAAGACAGGATGTGGGAAGACAGAGCTCAAGATAAATGTTGATGGAATTGATGAATGAGAAATAAGTGAATGAGTGATGTCCTAACGCTGTCAACCAGGAATGCTCTGGCATCCTAGGCGCTTGTCGTGTGTCTTTTTAACAGCAGGTGGCAGCATTTTGTGTCCTTTCACCCGCAGGACTCTTGGCCAGGGAAGAGATCCTGAGATGACCTTGTCAGCTCCTCTCCAAACGGAGAAACTTGCCCCTAAGGGTGTGCCCCTAAGGTCCTTCTAAAATGGCACGTGATGCCAGAGAGGACGACGCGGGTCTTGGGTTACTAATCTAGTGCCCATTCCACAAGAAAGAATAAATAACAAGGTTTCTATCAATTGGCAGCCGCTGCCGGAGGTCTTCGTGGGCATAGCATTTCAGAGGTGGCGCTGGTTTTTTAAGCGAAGATGCTAAGCGAAATGAGCCTTCACTGATGAAGGCATTTCTTTCAGAACAGCCTTGGGTTTAAAGAAAGAATAGTCCCTCAGTTTGCCAGTAACCTAACATGTGTTGCTCAGTGATAATCTTGTGTGCGAGGATTTAATGGGGAGAAAGACACAGGACTCAGAGAAATGTGCGACTGCCGTCATTGATAAACCCTACCCCGAGGCAAATGGTTAGTCAATCAAAGTCTCATGTATTTGACGCCTTGGCAACACTTGTTGAGCCCCACTTGAAACCTGCTGTGTGAATTGTGGGCCCTCGGGGAGGTGTGGCTTGTGGGTGTTAGACCTCCATCTAGAAGGGGAGGGAAGAGAGGACGCATCATGCGAGCAGGTGCATCCAAACGAGTCCGGGCTGGAGGGCAAACGCAGGGAGCAGGCTGGGCCATGCAGGCAGAGCCACGCCCCAGAGGGCCCAGGCTTCCAAGGAAAGAGGAGTCTCTGTGGAACCCCTCGGAAATGACCTCTTGCATCGCCCTCTGCGAGGGAGACATGACTCCCCTGTCCCTGCTCCTGCTCGCAGGGTGGCCCCGCCCCTCAGAGGTGCCCTAGGATGCTGCCAACACCATGCAGACACCAGGGACCTGGGTCAGTGCCGAGGGTTAAAAATTCATGGACTCGGGCGTACGGGACAAGAAGAGGGGCTGTTTGCTAAGCCTTCAGAGTGAGTTTGGAGCATGAGGTGGAAACACAGCTATAAAAGCCTGAGCACAAGGTGACAGTTCTGAGCCCTCCCCCATCCCCTCCCCTTAGCTGAAGCTGCTGAGCCCTCCC